TGATGATAGCCTAATGGGTTTTTCTTTGTAGGTGAACTTTTTCCTCTCTGGCTGCCTTTAATACTCTGTCTTTGTCTTTGATCTTTGCCATTTTAATTATTATATGTCTTGGTGTTGTCCTCCTTGGGTCCCTTGTGTTGGGAGTTCTGTGGGCTTCAATTGTCTGAAAGACTATTTCCTCCACTATTTCCTCCCTGTTTGGGGAAGTTTTCAGCAAATATTTCTTCAAAGACACTTTCTATCCCTTTTTCTTTCTTCTTCTTCTTCTTGTACCCCTATTATGCAAATATTGTTCCATTTCGATCGGCCACACAGTTCTCTTAATTATTGTCTTTCATTCCTGGGGACCCTTTTATCTGTCTCTGCCTCAGCTTCTCTGTATTCCGGTTCTCTGATTTCTATTCCATTAACTGCCTCTTGCACCTCATCCAGTCTGCTCTTAAGTCCTTCCTGAGATTGTTTTATTTCTGTATTCTCCCTCCCAACTTTATCCTTTAGCTCTTTCATATTTCTCTGCAGGTCCATCAGCATGGTTATGACTTTTATTTTTAATTCTTTTTCAGGAAGATTGGTTAAATCTATCTCCCCCAGTACTCTCTCAGGGGTTGTCCTGGTGATTGTGGACTGAACCAATTTCTTCTACCTTTTCATGGCAATAGAGGTAGTCATAGGCAGGTAGTGCGTGTGTTATCTGGGAGAACAATGTCCCTGTGTGGGTGTTTCAGTGCCACTGTTTGCTGTCTTATAAAGGCTTTCTAGCCCTGCCATGGGGTGACCGCGGCAGGAATTCCTGCCTGTGCTTCAGCCCAGCATGCAGACTGCTGACAGGTACCACGCGGAAACCACCTGCTCATAGTGTGCTGTGTGTCAGCATGTTTGCACCCATGGTTCCCAGCTCTCTGTTCTCAGTGCTCTTTTTCACACTTTATTTTTTTGTTCTGCATTCCTTGGCAAACCATCCGGTTGTAATATTGCAACATTTCTTTTTTTTTTTTCCCATAACTTGCCAGTGTTTTTGTGTTCAATTTAAAAATCATTATGAATCTGGAAAAAATGAAAGTTGTGTAAAACTGTTTTAGATGCAATGCATATTAGATTAGGCATAAACTATGTACAATTCTTTTACTAAAACAAGGCAAGTAGGTCATACATATTAAGGGAAGTCGTTTGTTCTTGGATTTTCACATTAGACCAGTTCTGTGGTCTCGCTCTAAATAGGCCTTAGGACAGTGTATCTTCGTGCCTTTTCAGGGCCCTCCCTTTCTGACCTGAGCGTGTGTGATAGGCTAGAGTGCCACATTTATTAGCTGGCTTAGCCAGTTCTTCACAGCCAACGCTAAGTAATTCTTCTCTTCACCCGAACTTACTGATAGAAATATAATTTATTCACACTGCTCTTTATATATGGAAGGAAGCAATGCCATCAAACCAGGATGGACAGTCTACAGGTTATTGTATTTTTACTAGTACTAAGGGGAGAATTTGCTCCTTAATGTACTGTCTGAAATACTGGATAAGTTTCGGCTGGTCAGAGAGTCAGCTCCCATTTAGGGTTGAAGTCTAGGACTCAGAAGAGCAGTATCTCAGGGCAGTTCAAAAGGTCTCCGTCTGTTCCCCGTGGGATTCACAGCCCTGGGCTCACTGGCACTGTGACCTTGTGCAGAGTTAACCAGCCGGGCTTTCCTAGAAATGCCCACGAGGAACTGCGTTTCTCCCCATGGTGTTGCCGTTTTACTGCGTAGTCCTTTAAGCTGTCCATGGGCATTGTGGAGTGCCCTTCAATACCTTTACTAGTCTAACAAAGCCTTTTTTTTCAAATTTTGCAATCCAACTTTATGGCTTCTGTTGTACTTATTTTCTATGATAATGTAGTTTTCAAAGCAGAAACTCTTCAGAGTGCTTTCAGCAGTTTTATTTTGGCCAGTACATAAAAATCTAATTTTAAGTCCCATTACTGTTTGCAGGAAGCCAGGCAGTGGGGATGGGGGGCGGAGGTGGCTTCTTGTCTGAATCTACCAAATGACCAAACTAGCGGTTACAGCTCTTCCTCTTAACCAAACCCATTGAACATTGCTAGACTTTTCCTTCCTTCGTTCCAGGTCCTCACATTTTCCGGGAGTTCCGCTGTAGCTCCTTCTGTAAAGCCTGGCTTTTATGGTGTGGTCAGGCACCTTGGCTGTGCTCCTGCCAACACATCCACAGGCGGCAGGGCCCGAGTGTGGGGCCGGGCTGCCCACAGGGCTCTGGCCACTGACTGCTCCCCAGCGAGTCTGCGCCTCACTCCCCACCTGTGCCAGACTCTCATCTCGGGCCACCCAACTCCTGCTGCTGCTCAAACAGACGTGAGTCTGGATGCACTCAGGGCTTGGAGGAGCTTCGGGCTCCGGCCTCGCCCGGAGAGGGAGGCTCGTGGCCCCGGCCGCAGGGACCACGGCCAGGCCCAGGCTGTGACCCATGCAGTCTGCTGCCGCCTCTGCAGCTGGTGGCCCATCTGGGCGCGAGTCCAGGAGACTGAGCTATGCATGGCCAGCACAGGGCTGCATGCAGAGCTGCAGAGCAGAGCAGGTGGCATTCTACCAGACGCTGAGGTGTTTAAGTTCAGCAGCCTTTTATTGAGTGAAGATGTCCCTTTAGGTGTGTTTCTTAGAAGGAATGGGTAGAGGGTTGTGTGCTTAGGGCTGTTCTTTCTTTTTTGAATTTTCTACTCGTAGATTTGAGGCAGGCCTCACTCCCACCGCAGAAGCATGGACGTAGCTGACCGCGGTGTCCATATGTTTCCCTGTCACCGCCCTCAGGCACCACACAGTCACGCGGGGCATCACCAGGGCGTGAAGGAGGACTTCCACATGGCCATGGAGCACCAGGTGTCCTGCTGCAGGGAGAGCCTGGCAGTGGTGCTGCACAGATTCTGCACCAACGAGGTCCTGCTCCTGCAGACACTGGCCGGGGTGGCGGCCCGCGGGGCAGCTGTGGGGTGGGTGCCTCAGAGTCGGGGAAACTATTTCTATTTTTTAGTCACTTTTTTGTAATTTGCGTAAAACAAAAGAACCTGTTTTGTAAATAAAAATCAACCTTAATTTGGGGTGTTAAATTTATTTTAATGCTTAAGAGTTTCTTAACAGGAGCGCACTTCAGTTAAAAGTACCTCTCAAGGCTTCATCTGCCCTAGTTAGGCTTTGGCAAGGAGCACCCACCCTCGGCACTGTCTGCGAGCCCATCACCCAGGAGTCCGGGACCAAACCAGAGGGGACTGCCGCAGGGCTGCCCTGGTGCTCACCCTGCAGGCAGCCCCTGGGGACCCGGCAGTTCCCCCGAAGCTCATCACTGGAATCCCTGCTGAGACAGCGGGCCCCTCGCGGGGTGTGCACAGACTGAGCACCCACAAATGGCCGCAGGGGTGCTGCGTATGTCCCGAGTCCTCTGCAGTCCCAGCCTCAGGTTTCCCTCTGGCCGCTCCTGAAACGCAGGACGGAAGCCACAGACATTTGTGCTTAGCGGCTTTGAAAAGAGCCGAGTGGTTCGCTTACTTCACATACAAAGTTCTACAGCTTTCCTAAATAAGACCCTTTCTGTAGAAACATTAGAACCAGTGAAGTGCGGGAGGACACGCTGGGCCTCAGAGAGTCTCCCACCTAGCTGGTAAGGTGTCAGTGCCATGGGTCGGTGACCCAGAAGCCATCCTGTCTTCACCACAGCGTGCTGCTATCGCCCAGGCTTTCAGAGGAAACACTCCGCTGCCTTTGGTTTTCTAACCCCGTCCTCAGGTCGCTGTTGGGGGCCGCACGCCTCCATAGGACTTCCCGGTGTGTGCAAGGCACCACACAAAGAGCCTGTCCTCTCTGTTAAGATTCGGTGGCGCCCCTCCTGTGTGCAGAGTGGCAGGGAAGGTCCAGGAATAAATGGGGAAGGAGGCCAGCCAGACCCTGGCGCTGGGACCAAGCTCCTGCACGGCATCTAACAGCCTCGGGGTCCCCTTAAAACGCCTGCCTGGGAAAGCTGCATGCTGCCTGGGAACTGTCTGTTAGGGCCAAAGCATGGGGTTGAGCAGCTAGGTCCTGATCCGCCTCTTAAAGCACTTATTTTAGAAAGCTTGCTTCCAATTATAATCCACTGTTCTGTGAGGTGTAAAATCACCACCCACGACTTCCCTCAGGACCCAGTGCTGTCTGACATGCAAACATGGGGGAGGGAGGGGCTGATTTAAGTTGGCACCTTCCACTCGCACCACCGCCTCCTCGGGTCAGCGAGAGGAGAAACGCCAACAAGCTGACCCAGGTGCCTCGTCAGACCTCCTTGGAGCCTCTGCCTGAGTTCGCCGCGCCTTTCGTTTTGGAAACCTTTGCTTCACGCCGACCCTGGTGCAGTGCTGCCTCCAGGGGCCTTGCAGTGCCTGGCTGTGCTGGTGTAACACTGGGCAGGCATCCCCTGTGATCTGCTCAGCTGACACGAGCTGTTGCTGGCGGGGCACTAGCAGGATTTGGACGGATGGAGGCAGTCATTTACAGACCAAATGACCTTTGGAGTTTAATCAAAGCTCAGAAGAACCTTCTTGTTATCAAAGTGGGAGGGAGTGACCATAAGTAGGATAAAACCCACGGAGCCCCAGTGGTCAGGACAGAGTTCCACCAGACTCCAGCATGACAGTGCACACTGGGAAGCCAGCTACTGGGCACTGCAGGGAGCAAGACCAGCTGTCCCAGGCTAGTGTTCAGGAGGGAGTTCTGCAAAGGTAAGCCAGCAACTCTGTGGCATCCTTTGCCTATGGCAGTGTTTTGACATAACACGATTAGATGAGGGGTTTATGAGATCTGAGGCATTTTATGACATGATACGGACATCTAACATTTCCATCTGCTTTGAATCTGGTAATGCATGTAGTCTGAAGAAGATGTTTTGGAAGGAATGCCCAAGAAACAGAGGAACATGCTGGTTCGCTGCACTCTGGTGAAAGCAGATTGCATAAATATGCAACTGAAGACAAGGCGGTGTCTCACCTAATTCCAAAGTTTAAGCATCAGGCGTGTTAAAGACACCAGAGCTGGAATTATGCCAGAAGCTGCGTTAATAGAGGAATGGTTTCTACAGCGTATTAGTATTTTTAAAGATCTATCCCTCATTTTTTACAATTGATACAGAGATCTCTTTGTGAAAGCAGTTTGATATGTTGAGTCTTCTAAAAGTCCGTTTATCTCCCCCATTTATTTGGAAAACAAATGCCTTAATGAAAAAACTAGTATGCTGGAATTTCATATAAGCTGATACCCTTTGATACAACGTGCATTACTGTACACTCGTAACCAATGCCCTTTATTGGCCAGAGTGAGAAGAGGCAAAGAAGAGCAGAAAAAATAGATGAAATGAATAAACAATGTCAAGTCATTACACCCATCTACTGGTTTTTTGCTTTATTCTTAAGAACTCCTGATTTCCCTATAAGATGCAGTGTGCCATGTACAGCTGCCCCTTGAACCTGGGTTTGAACTACATGTGTCCACTTATATGTGGATTTATTTCAATATTTTGGAAAATCTTTCGGATATTTGTGACAATCTGAAAAAACGTCTTTTTTCTAGTGCACTTCATTGTAAGAATACAGCATATGATACATAATCTGTGCACACACTGACTGCACATTCTCGGTAAGGCTTCCAGTCAGCAGGCAGTTCAGTTCTTGGGGGATCAGAAGTTACCTCGATTTTTGACTGCATGGGGTCAGTGCCCTGACCCGTGCATTACCAGATCGTCAGCTGCATCCATTGTTGGTTATCCTCCCCACTGCCTCCTGACTGCTGGGTGCAGGAGGCCGCTTCCCAGTGGCCCGTGTCTGGTCAATCCCAGTTCCCTTGTCACTACCAGTTTCACATGTCAGGTGAGGCGCTTGCAGCCAGTGTGACAAGGGATGGCTGCTGGGGGCACGTGGGATCTCCAGCGGATGGGATCGTGGGACGCAGAGGGACGCCCTTGCCCGCCTGTGGGTGTGCGTTTGCTGAGCGCGTGACTGTCAACCCCCCACCCCCCCACCGGGCCTGGCTGAGTGCGGTGTATGCTCAGGTGCAAACACTACCTCAGGCCTTGTCACGTGAGGTTTTCCTGATGACCCAGCTGCGGGAAGGTGAAGTTCCTCATGGGTCAGGGCATCCCAACTTGCTTGCTCCCCAGTTTGAGATATGGTTCTGGACGATTCGTCTGGGGAGGCCCTGGGCAGCAGGGTTTGGAACAGCGCGGCTGACCGTCTACACAGCTCAGTACTGGAAGGGAGGCGACAGGCTCCTCGGAGGTGCCCGTGCACAGCTGCAGGGCATTTCACAGGGCAGGCCACACACGTTTCATCAGCACTTAATTATTAAAAAGCAACCACCACTGCCCGCTTCTATGTTTACTTAGTGCCTGCTGTGCACACGAACAAGGCCTAAGTCTTGCCCTTAACAAGCTCACAGCCGAGTGTGGGAAACTGGACGTGTGCCCAGGTCAGCGTCACAAGGGGCGGAGAGCTGCAGACGCTAGGACAGTGACCCCGAGTGGCCCCGAGAGACCAGGAGATTCCAGAGGAAAACACTACTTCTGGCGGGCACTGAGAGAGAAGGTGCCTGAGAGGCAGGTTTAAAGGGACGGGTCACCCACACAGGGGAGAGGAGGGAGGGGGAGGGCAGGGAAGGCCAGGGAGGCAGCTGTGAAGGGGCTAGTGGCGGCCACCCCCACGGTCCCTGTGCAGCAGGCCTCTCATGGAAAACCCGCCAGCGTGACTGTGTGTTGCACAGGAAGGGTCTCTGCACTCCTCGCTTCACCTGAGAAACTCTGTCTTCAGTTGTGTGACTCCAAGCAGGGAGCTACCTCCACGGTGGAGCAGATCGCCTGTAGTGAGCTTTTTAAACTTTTCATCATTGATTTTACGGAGTTTCTATAATAATATCATTTTTCTAAGGATTTCCAAAATGCTACTGATGGATCCCACCTGAATCTAAGACTAAAGGTCCACAGTGGTGCCCTCATTCACTGGTGAGGAAACTGAGGCCCAGACCCGCCACCAGACTTGCCAGCGCCTCACACTCAAGGATGGCAACACCGAGCCACAAGCAAGACCGTGCGCCCCACCCCTCTGTGGCCCTGTCCCTCGGCACCAGCCCCCACCTACATACACAGACAGGCAGACGACAGGTGACTGATGGACAGGTATGTAAGCAGATAACTATAAGCAAGAGTGGCTGGTAATAACACATCTATATGTACTTTTTTTTTCCAAGTGGAGAAAAGGAGAAAATGGCTGCTGATAGAAAAGTATTTTTGGATCCCCCAATGCCTTGCAGCTGAAGAGAAAACTACACTTACTTTCCTCATTAAACTGCCCTTAGCCAAAAACTGTGAGACTGTATTACTTCACACAACGTTCAATGAGTGTCACAGTCAGCCACAGCAGGAATGATGTATCCCTGGCTGGCAGGTGTGCACATGGGAAAGTGATGTGCAGGAAAACCAGATCAGTAAGAACCAGACCTGAGACTGTTTCCACTATCACAGAACCAAAACGACCACGGTGGTCGCCTTTTGAAAAGTTAAATGAGAAATCCTCAGAATAACATTCCACATCTGTCCACATTTACAAAGAGTGAGGAAAAAGGTGATTCCCAGCAAGCAGGGCCCAGACCCCAGCAGAGCCCAGGCAGGCTGTCCCGCCCACCACGGCACTCTCCCCGGGAACCCGGAGTGTGTGCAATCCCTGCGGGACTAGGGCCTCCCTTTGTGGGTCTGTGCCACCTCTACCACAAGGCTCACAAGACTCTGTTGGTAGCAAATTTCAGCAGTCACGTCAGACCTTCCAGAACACCTTCTTTCTGTAGAGAATGTAGGCGATGAGCACCCAGAGAGCTGTGGCGATGATGTTCTGCGTGAGGTGCTCTTTGTGTGACTGGCTGTCCCCCAGCTTCCACTGGAAGGGGAAGTAGCTCTCAAACACTTCGTGGCCAACGTACACCAGAATAGAATTCATTCCTGAGGGAGAGATGCAGAAGGTGATGCTTTCCTGCAGTCACACCTGATCATCCAGGTAGTCCTGGAAATCTGACTTGAGTTCAGTGAAAAAGCAAAAAGCACACCCTCCCATCACTGGCTGCCCCCAATAGTAAGGGACACGTCTTAGACACTTAAGTGTCAACTCTATCAGGAAATTATTAGAAAATACTCATTTTATAACAGTGCAGTTCTTCAATACTAAATCTAAAACAAAAGCCAAAATTAAGAAATTCTATTTTCTAGATAATAAACTTAAGGTACAGGGCAGAGTCAAGATGGTGATGTGAGTAGAGCAGCAGAAATCTCCTCCTAAAACCATATATATTTTTTAAAATACAACAAATACAACTATCCCTAAAAGAGAGACCAGAAGATACAGGACAACAGCCAGGCCACATCTACACCTGCGAGAACCCAGTGCCTCTCGAAGGGAGTAAGATACAAGTCATGGCCCGGTGGGACCCGAGTGCCCCTCACCCCATCTCCCAGCGGTAGGAGAGGAGTCGGAGCGGGGAGGGAGAGGGAGCCCAGGACTGCTAAACACCCAGGCCTAGCCATCCGTACTGCGAGCGCAGACACACAGCGCATGGGCTGCTGGATACTAGGGAAATGGGACAGTAAAACCTGCGAGTGGGTCCCCACAGCCAGCGCCCCTGGGACAAAGAAAAGCAAGGGCTTTTTGAAAGACTTAAAGGGACAGTGACTCCACAGCTGGACGAAAAGGTCCCGGGACACTTAGCTCAGCAGCTGGGAATCCCAGGGAACTCCAGGTGCCCTAACCCCCTGGGTGGCAGCACAGCTCGGAGGCCCCTCATGGAGATAAACAGCCTCCCACTGGTTTCCCCTCCAACCGTGCTCTGCCATAGTGGAGCAGCAGCCTGAGGCTGGCCACGCGCATGGCAGCAGGGCAGAACTTCTTCCACAGTGACCAAGCAAGAATTAGAAATCCTGTCTGTGCACAGCTGCCCAGCAAAAGCCATTAGGGGTCGCCATTCTCCCAGGAGAAGAAGTCCAGAAACCAGCAAGAAGGGACGTTCTCCCAGCTGACACACACACCAGCTCCCCACAACTACCTCTATCACCATGAAAAGGCAGAAGAATTTGATACAGACCAGACTAACCCAGACATCCTCCCCTGAGAAGGAATCTGGGGAGATATACCTAACCAATCTCTCTGAAAAAGAATTCAAAACAAAGGTCATAACCATGCTGATGGAGCTGCAGAGAAATATGCAACAGCTAACAGATGACGTCCGGAGGGAGATTACAGAAATTAAAAAATCTCTGGAAGAATTGTTAACCAGAATACATAAGATGCAAGAGGCCATTGATGGAATAGAAACCAGAGAACAGGAACGCATAGAAGCTGATGCAGAGAGAGATAAAAGGATCTCCAGGAATGAAACAATATTAAGAGAACTGTGTGACCAATCAAAAAGGAACAATATCCACCTTATAGAGGTACCAGAAGAAGAAGAGAGAGAGAAAAACAGGTAGAAAGTGTATTTGAAGAAATAAGTGCTGAAAACTTCCCCAAACTGGGGGAGGAAATCATCGTTCAGACCACGGAAGTACACAGAAGTCCAACAGAAGAAACCCAAGGAGGACAACACCAAGACCTAATAATTAAAATGTCAAAGACAAGGACAGAGTTTTAAAGGCAGCCAGAGAGAGGAAAAAGGTCACCTACAAAGGAAAACCCATCAGGCTATCTCATCAGACTTCTCAACAGAAACCTTACAGGCCAGAAGAGAATAGCATGATATATTTAATACAATGAAACAGAAGGGCCTTGAACCAAGGATACTGTATCCAGCACGTTTATCATTTAAAGATGAAGGAGGGATTAAACAATTGCCAGACAAGCAAAAGTTTTGGGAATTTGCTTCCCACAAACCACCTCTACAGGGTATTTTAGAGGGACTGCTCTAGATGGAAGCTCTCCTAAGGCTAAACAGATGTCACCAGAGATAATAAAATCACAGCAAGGAAAGCAGACCAACCAAATACTAACTAAAGGCAAAAAATAAAATCAACTACCCACAAAAGCAGTTAAAGGAAACACAAAAGGGTACAGAATAAAACACCCAACATATAAAGAATGGAGAAGGAGGAATAAGAAGGGAGAGAAATCAAGAATCACCAGACAGTGTTTATAATAGCTCAATAAGCGAGTTAAGTTAGGCAGTAAGATACTAAAGTAGCTAACCTTGAACCTTTGGTAACCACGAATCTAAAGCCTGCAATGGCAATAAATACATATCTTTCAATGATCACCCTAAATGTGAATGGACTGAAAGCACCAATCAAAAGACACAGAGTAATAGAATGGATAAAAAAGCAAGACCCATCTATATGCTGCTTACAAGAGACCCACCTCAAACCCAAAGACATGCAGACTAAAAGTCAAGGGATGGAAAAAGATATTCCATGCAAACAACAGAGAAAAAAGCAAGTGTTGCACTACTAGAATCAGACAAAATAGACTTCAAAACAAAGAAAGTAACAAGAGATAAAGTAGGACATTATATAATGATAAAGGGCTTAGTCCAACAAGAGGATATAACCATTATAAATATATATGTACCCAATACAGTAGCACCAGCATATGTGAAACAAATACTAACAGAACTAAAGGAGGAAATAGAATACAATGCATTCATTATGGGAGACTTTAACACACCACTCACTCCAAAGGACAGATCCACCAGACAGAAAATAAGTAAGGACACAGAGGCACTGAACAACACACTAGAACGGATGGACCTAATAGACATCTACAGAACTCTACATCCAAAAGCAACAGGATACACATTCTTCTCAAGTGCACATGGAACATTCTCCAGAATAAACCACATACTAGGCCACAAAAAGAGCCTCAGTAAATTCAGAAAGATTGAAATTCTACCAACCAACTACACAGACCACAAAGGTATAAAACTAGAACTAAAAGAAAGCAAAAAGGCCCACAAACACATGGAGGCTTAACAACATGCTCCTAAATAATCAATGGTTCAATGACCAAATTAAAATAGAGATCAAGCAATATATGGAAACAAATGACAACAATAACACAAAGCCCCAACTTCTGTGGGACACAGTGAAAGCAGTCTTAAGAGTAAAGTATATAGCAATGCAGGCATATTTAAAGAAGGAAGAACAATCCCAAATGAATAGTCCAATGTCACAATTATCGAAATTGGAAAAAGAACAAATGAGGCCTAAGGTCAGCAGAGGGAGGGACATAATAAAAGATCAGAGCAAAAATAAATAAAATTGAGAAGAATAAAACAATAGAAAAAAATCAATGAAATCAAGAGCTGGTTCTTTGAGAAAATAAACAAAATAGATAAGCCTTTAGCCAGACTTATTACGAGAAAAAGAGAATCAACACAAATCAACAGAATCAGAAATGAGAAAGGAAAAATCACAACGGACCCCACAGAAATACAAAGAATTATTAGAGAATACTATGAAATCCTATATGCTAACAAGCTGGAAAACCTAGAAGAAATAGACAACCTCTTAGAAAAATACAACCCTCCAAGACTGACCAAGGAAGAAACAAAAAATCTAAACAAACCAATTACCAGCAAAGAAATTGAAGTGGTAATCAAAAAAACTACCCAGGAACAAAATCCCTGAGCCAGATGGATTTACCTCAGAATTTTATCAGACATACAGAGAAGACATAATACCCATTTTCCTTAATATTTTGCAAAAAATAGAAGAGGAGGGAATATTCCCAAACTCATTCTATGAAGCCAACATTACCCTAATACCAAAACCAGGCAAAGACCGCACAAAAAGAAAATTACAGACCAATATCCCTCATGAACATAGATGCAAATTACTTAACAAAATATTAGCAAACCGAATTCAAAAATACATCAAAAGGCTCATACACCATAACGAAGTCGCATTCATCCTAGAGATGCAAGGATGGTACAACATTTGAAAATCCATCAACATCATCTACCACAGAAACAAAAAGAAGAACAAAAACCACATGATCATCTAAATAGATTCTGAAAAAGCTTTCAACAAAATTCAACATGCATTCATGATAAAAACTTTCAGCAAAATGGGTTTACAGGGCAAGTACCTCAACATAATAAAGGCCATATATGACAAGCCCACAGGCAACATCACAGTGAACAGCGAGAAGCTGAAAGCTTTTCCCAAGATATTGGGAACAAGACAGGGATGCCCATTCTCCCCACTGTTATTCAACATATCACTGGAGGTCCTAGCCATGGCAATTAGACAAAACAAAAGAAATACAACCAATCCAAATTGGCAAAGAAGTTAAATTGTCACTATTTGCAGATAACATGATATTGTACATAAAAAACTCTAAAGACTCCATTCCAAAAGTACTAGAACTGATATGGGAATACAGCAAAGTTGCAGGATACAAAATTAACACACAGAAATCTGTGGCTTTCCTATATACTAACAATGAACAAATAGAAAGAGAAATCAGGAAAACAATTCCATTCACCATTGCATCAAAAAGAATAAAGTACCTAGGAATAAACCTAACCAAGGAAGTGAAAGACTTATACTCTGAAAACTATAAGGCACTCTTAAGAGAAATTAAAGAGTTCACTAGCAAATGGAAACTCATCCCATGCTCCTGGCTAGGAAGAATTAATATTGTCAAAATGGCCATCCTGCCCAAACCAATATACAGATTTGATGCAATACCTATAAAGTTACCAACAACATTCTTCAATGAACTGGAACAAATAGTTCAAAAATTCATATGCAAACACCAAAGACCCAGAATAGCCAAAGCAATCCTCAGAAGAAGAATAAAGTGAGGGGGGGGATCTCGCTCCCCAACTTCAAGCTCTACTACAAAGCCACAGTAATCAAGACAATTTGGCACTGGCACAAGAACAGAGCCACAGACCAGTGGAATAGAATAGAGACTCCAGACATTACCCCAAACATATATGATCAATTTATATATGATAAAGGAGCCATGGACATATAATTGGGGAAATGACAGTCTCTTCAACAAATGGTGCTGGTAAAACTGGACAGTTACATGTAAGAGAATGAAAACTGGATCACTGTCTAACCCCATACACAAAAGTAAATTCGAAATGGATGAAATATCTGACTGTATGTCATGAAACCATAAAACTCCTAGAGAAAAACATAGGCAAAAATCTCTTGGACATAAACACGAGCGACTTCTTCATGAATGTATCTCTCTGGGCAAGGGAAACAAAAGCCAAAATGAACAAGTGGCACTATATCAAGCTGAAAAGCTTCTGTACAGCAAAGGACACCATCAAGAGAACAAAAAGGTACCCTACAGTATGGGAGAATATATTCATAAATGACAGATCCAATAAACGGTTGACATCCAAAATATATAAAGAGTTCATGCACCTGAACAAACAAAAGCAAATAATCCAATTAAAAAATGGGCAGAGGAGCTGAATAGACAGTTCTCCAAAGAAGAAATCCAGATGGCCAGCAGGCACATGAAAAGATGCTCCACATTGCTAATCATCAGAGAAATGCAAATTAAAACCACAATGAGATATCACCTCACACCAGTAAGGATCACCATTATTGAAAAGACAAACAACAACAAATGTTGGCGAGGTTGTGGAGAAAGGGGCACCCTCCTACACTGCTGGTGGGAATGTAAATTAGCTCAACTGTTTTGGAAAGCAGTATGGAGGTTCCTCAGAATGCTCAAAATAGAAATACCATTTGACCCAGGAATTCCACTTCTAGGAATTTACCCTAAGAATGCAGCACTTCGGTTTGAAAAAGACAGATGCACCCCTATGTTTATCGCTGCACTATTTATAATAGCCAAGATTTGGAAGCTACCTAAATGTCCATCAGTAGATGAATGGATAAAGAAGATGTGGTACATATACACAATGGAATATTATTCAGCCATAAGAAGAAACAAATCCTACCATTTGCAACAACATGGATGAAGCTAGAGGGTTTATGCTCAGTGAAATAAGCCAGGCGGAGAAAGACAAGTATCAAATGATTTCACTCATACGTGGAGTATAAGAACAAAGAAAAACAAAAAGAAAAAAAAAAAAAAAAAAAAAAAAAAACGAAAAAAGGACTAACAGTTACCAAAGGGAGAGGGACTAGGCAGGATGGGTGGGAAGGGAGGGATAAGGAGGAAAAAGAAAGGGGGCATTACGATCAGCATGTATAATGTTGCGGGGCCGGTGGGGCACGGGGAGAGCTGTGCAACACAGAGAAGAGCAGTAGTGATTCTATAGAATTTTACTATGCTGATGGACAGTGACTGTAGTGGGGTGTGGGGGGGGACTTGGTGAAGTGGGGTGCCTATTAAACCTAATATTCTTCATGTAATTGTAGTTTAACGATAACAAAATTAAAAAAATAATAAACTTCAGGTACAAAGAACATAACTAGTTCTAGAAAAAGAAGCCTGGCACAAGTCATTGGCATGACCTGGTGTACCTCGGGCCTCAGGCAGAGCTGTATCTACACCATTCCATTTACCTCTTGACAGCATCTCTTGATATTTCTACTGCATGACCTGTAACTAGGACTAGGACATGCCCATTAAGAAAGACAGTAAGGCCCCATTGCTGAAGCGTTAGAAATGGGATGATAGGCACTGGGTCGTTTCTGATGCTCTACCACTTGGTACTGCCTGAAGAAATCTAGATGGTGAAATGGGGTGGGCTGCTTCAGAAGATGCCGGTGGCATCCGACGCAGGACAGCATGGCCTGTACTGCTTCCTCCATGGCCTGCATCCTGGGAACATGCCACCAGGGTTGTAGCACAGGCCCCAGCATGGGGCATGCTCGTCTGGTCTCTGGGCCGGTCTACCTGGTCACTGTTGGACTCCTAGGGGTGTGAGGTGACTCACCTGGGTAAAAGAACGGGGTTCCTGACCACAGCCCCTTCACGTCCACAACAGGGTACAGGATGAGCAGGAGGAAGAAGGCAAAGGAGCTCAGCGTGGTGACATAGGAGAGGGACCTGGGGAGGGGGGTTGAATGAGGTGTTTCAGGGCCCCTGGTTGCCCCATGCACCTGATGTTAACATGACCGATTGTCGGCAGTACAATGACACTGTTTCTGTACCCACCAGAGATTTTTATTTACTGGAATAAAACCTTCATTTTCAGAAATGTTCGTCAAAGCAACAGAAATAAGCCCCTATAATGGGAGAGAAGGATGTTTAAGTTTTTTATTATCTCAGAAAACAATTGTTTTCAAGGCTGAAAAACATTACCCAATTGCTTAGGCAGAGCTGAAAATCATGCCTTGTTTTTTATTCTTTTAAGTGGGAAAATATTTTTAAGATGCATAACTAAAACCACTCTCCAAAAAAATTCTCTGAAGCCTTCTTGAGTTGACAGTGAACTAACTGATAAACTAGAGGGAATTCCGGGGGAAACAGGACCCGTAAAATGAACGGTCAGCCTTACAACTCTTCTGTCCCGCACGAACCTGAGCCTGATGTCTGGGAACCTGTTATTATCTGCCTGGTCTCTCTGGAAGGGCTCCCCACCAGAACTCACTCCCCGGTTCTTGTTCTCCCTGCACTCCTGCTGCCTGCTCGACCGCAACCCTGTTTTATTTATGAAGACGCTTTCTGAAGGAAATAAACCTGAGAATGTTGGTGCAGAGATTCATTCGTATCTGTCACTCAGGTGAAGAATGTCACCTGTTGTGTTATGCTAACCACCACCAAAGCAGTGCTGCTAAGTATTTACTTCTTTTAAATATGTGTGAGTGAAGAAAAAGGATTTTAGTGAGGAATGTTGCTTACTTACCAGAAGACAACACCAGGCACTGAATCTGATCAGAATGGCTGTGGTCTGATCCTTGTAATACAAGAGTATTTTTCCAGCCTGAGAAGAAAACACAGTATGATCAGGAGAATCACCTAAGTTACATTGTTTCATATTCATCCATTGTCCTAATCGCTCAGTGGATTCCTCTGCCAGCTATGCTGCAGATACCAGGATCACAGAGAGGCACAGAAACTTCCCCTGCCGCTGGCTGGCAGAGACCAGGGCACATGGGCACACTGGTGGTGGGCAGACGCAAGAGAGGACACGTGTCAAGGCGAGGGAGGAGTGCAAAGCAGAAACAGCATTCAAGCCACATGGAACAGCATGCTCAGAAGCACCTCTGCTAGGAAGGAGCGCAGCAGTCTGAACGCGGTGCGGGAAATCCAGCGAGGCCGGCAGGTTGGCAAGAGCAAAGAGTGGGAGGCAGGGGCGCCTGGAGGTCTCCCTGCGAGGCACAGGCTTTCTCCCACGGGTGATAGGAAGCCAAGGAGAGTTACTCACTCCCCACCCCCAGAAAAGGAACAGGGACCAGTTCCCACAGCCCATGGCATGGCCCATTCTGAAGCAGGGAGGGACAGAGACAGGGCGAACTCAGAGGCAGAGAAACATTTCTAAAACAGTAAAGTTGGGACTTTGCCAAGAAATCCTCCAAAATTAGGAATTAATTTCTGAAAACACCAAAGGGTAAAAAAAGTGTTCATGCTCATTGGTAATAACAGCTAAAATTTATGAATGTTTTCTATGTTCCAGGGCTCAGAACCCTTTATGATTAACTTATTTATGCCTCTCAGCACCTTTATGAAGCTGGTGCCACTGAAGCACAGAGCGATGAGAAGAGGCCTGGGCCGCCCTGCTGGGAAGCGGGGGCACTGGGCCCAAACCTGGGTGGTGTGGCCCAGGCCTGCACTGCGAGCAGCTGGGCACAGATAGGCAGGGGCCAGGGAGCATATGGAAGGACACCCAGGGTGAGCTGTAGAGACAGGAACGCTTCCAGACAGGAAAATCACTCCCTCACCACACTGTGCACTGTGGGCCTGCACGACCCAGTATGGGAGCCACTAGCCAAAAGGCAGCTACTTGAGGGTGACCAAAATGAATTAAGCAGAAATAAATGCATAGGCGAGCCCCTTATCGTGCACAGCCCTGCGGGCAGCACAGATGGAGACAGCAGGTCATTGTCACTGAGCTCCATTACTGCTCTTAACCCCTCCGTCCCCTCCATTAGCGCCAGTCACCAAACACCAATGAGAGGACCTTTGGGAGGAAAATCTAGGCTGCTCAGAATTTTAACAAAACTGCATGTGAGATGAACCAATAATAACCGGTATTGACTTTGGCGTAAAATATGCATGACCTGAAACCATGTGAGTTGTACACAAAAAGGTGACAGATGGCAGGGCACCTCCCAGCGTCACCAGCACCAACCCCGCCCCTCAGCAAGGACATCATCTGCCAGAAACTTCCCGGCAGCCACGGCGGAGACCAGCTTTTTTGAGAATACAGAAATCATACCGAATTATTTAAATGTGCTGAATTTTAGCACATTCTAGTTTTGATAATCTGTCAGGTACTGACAGAATTCATCAGGCCTGTAATACATGGAAGGTATGCTTCCAAGCACTTATTTGAATGGAATTGTTCTTGAATTAGGGAAGAAGCAATAATCATAGACAGGAAAATGTACCCAAAGGAAATGAACAAATACCTGACATCCTAAAAACGCCACCACAATGGAGTTGATGGTCCCCAGGATCCCTTCAGGGTCGTAGGCCACCTCAGTGTGATAAAGCACCTGCAGCGGGACAGGAAGGCAGAGCCACTGAGTGACCATGAGGAGTCACAGGCTAAATGCAAACGGGAAGCCCTGACAGTCAAGGGTTTTGCTTGTGCCAACTTGTGGGGACTGCGGGCAAATACTTCTGGCCAAGGAGGTGTGCAGCATGGACACCACTGAAGGGAGCCAGGGTCCAGCACAGCCACTACCACTCAGGCGGCTCGGGAGGGTCTGGGCCCCGTGCCCACTGGCTGAGCCTCCCTGACCAGTTCCAAACTCCAGGCATGGGCCTTCTCCGTGTTCAGGTTCATTGTCTTTGGTTCACTCTTGTAATATCAACAGTTCCTACCTTCTTTAGCAGCAGATAGCATTTTTAAATGTCTGTTTCATTATAAAATAAACGTTATCATAGAAACTGTAGGAAGGTGGGAACGCTGCCCACTCACCCCCCACCCCCATGGAAGTGTTCATTCCCCAGCTGCCAGAAGTACAAACAGCCACAGCTTTCAGCCGAGCCCATCTTCTGGACTCGTCCACAGGCAGAGAGAGCTGCCCCTCCAGGAGTCACACTCCCTCACTGGGGGCAGCCACATTCTGCCAGGACTCAGAGCGGCCCACAAGGGCCATCCAGGCCCCAGGACCTTAGCAAGGTCTCTGTGTGCCTACAGTGAAGTTCAACTGCCCCCTGCCCCAGCCCGCCTCCTTCATGCCCCAGCAGCTGCTGATCCCAAAAGGATGCATGATGACCTGCCTGCACATGAACCTCTTCTGCTGTGAGCAAGTCCAGCTTGGATGCCGGGAAAGCACGGTGCTACACATGCGATCCAGTGCACGTTTGCTTTAAAATCCATAGCAGCATTTACAGCCTGGCCCACAATGAACCTTGAAGTCCCTAAATCAGCCAGCTTTTCTAATGAAAAGTAGTTCCCAAACAGTATATCAACAGACGTAGTTTCAAGCTGACCAGCCTTCCTATTTGCCTTCAGTTCAGAGAATCCATGGGCCCAGCTCCACGTCCCGGCCAGGCTCACTCACCACTGAAGAAGGGTGCTGGTACAGGTGGCTGTCTCCCAGGAGCACGCGGTCGATGTAACCAGCAGCCCCTCCCGTGCAGTTAGGATGCTTCCCCAGATCACCAATGCCACCAGGACCGAGGTAACCCCTGGGAAGTGGGAACATGCACTTAAGGACGGGGTCTCAGAGGGTACAGGCACACACTGCAACTGACACAGCCCCTCAAAGAGCCCCAGATGCATGCAAGCCTAAGAGCCCCTTGGGCACCAGGCAGGCTCCCCACATTAAGGCGGGGGCCCAACTTCCATTCAAACTGACCCTGAAAAACTTCAGAGTCATTCCTGTAAACACGCACTGACTCCCCTCTCACTGCGAAGAGTGGAAAGGAACTCCTCCGGCTTGGGAAACAAAGCTATCACTCCCCAGAGCCCTGACTCGGCAGAAGGTGATAGGGCACCGCCCACATGGCTCACTTACGTAGGACATCCAGGGACAGGAAAGAAGAAGGTCAGGCCCAGCCACGTGCCTTCCAGCGTCAGAACGAAGAGCCACTGGGGCCAGCTGGAGGTGACGTCTCCCAGAGAGGAGCCCCTTCTGTCCTGGGTGAGTGACACGAGCACATATGAGCCGACCCCGAGTCGGGTGGGACCCGGCAAGCAGCCTGCGTGTCCGGGATGCTCCCTGGGCCTCGCCTCTTGGCCTTTAGGACCATGGGCCCAGCTCCACGTCCCGGCCAGGCTCACTCACCACTGAAGAAGGGTGCTGGTACAGGTGGCTGTCTCCCAGGAGCACGCGGTCGATGTAACCAGCAGCCCCTCCCGTGCAGTTAGGATGCTTCCCCAGATCACCAATGCCACCAGGACCGAGGTAACCCCTGGGAAGTGGGAACATGCACTTAAGGACGGGGTCTCAGAGGGTACAGGCACACACTGCAACTGACACAGCCCCTCAAAGAGCCCCAGATGCATGCAAGCCTAAGAGCCCCTTGGGCACCAGGCAGGCTCCCCACATTAAGGCGGGGGCCCAACTTCCATTCAAACTGACCCTGAAAAACTTCAGAGTCATTCCTGTAAACACGCACTGACTTCCCTCTCACTGCGAAGAGTGGAAAGGAACTCCTCCGGCTTGGGAAACAAAGCTATCACTCCCCAGAGCCCTGACTCGGCAGAAGGTGATAGGGCACCGCCCACATGGCTCACTTACGTAGGACATCCAGGGACAGGAAAGAAGAAGGTCAGGCCCAGCCACGTGCCTTCCAGCGTCAGAACGAAGAGCCACTGGGGCCAGCTGGAGGTGACGTCTCCCAGAGAGGAGCCCCTTCTGTCCTGGGTGAGTGACACGAGCACATATGAGCCGACCCCGAGTCGGGTGGGACCCGGCAAGCAGCCTGCGTGTCCGGGATGCTCCCTGGGCCTCGCCTCTTGGCCTTTAGGTTAGGGTTACAAAGCAGACACATTCCTTCCTATGTGTTCCTGGTCCAGATGCTCCCTCTCTGGGAAGTAGCAGAGCAGGACATTAGTTAAAAAGAAATCAGTGGGCAGTTCTACTCCCCTGCCCAAGAGAGGTGAAAACATGTCCACACGAGCGCTTGCACACGAAGGTAGACTCATCACTGAGGCCAGCCGAGGCGGGAAACAAGTCAGATGTCCATCAGCTGATGAACAGGCACAGAACATTTTATGAATGTTCATAAAACTCAGCAGTAAAAAGGAGTAGATGCTAACACGTGGCACAGCATGGATAAATACTGTAAAAATAGTATGCTTGAAATATTTTTAAATATATTATGCTAAGTGAAATATTATCATGAAAAGATTATGCTAATTAAAGAAACCAGGACCAAAAGCCAGAAAATAAATAAGATCCCATTTATATGAAGTGTCTCGAACAGGCACATCTGCAGAGACAGAAAGGAGATCAGGGTCGCCTAGGGCTGGCGGGGTTGGGGAGTGAGCACGGGGTCTCTTTCTGGAGTAATGAAAACGTTCTAGAATTGGATAGTGGTGTTGATGGCACAACTGTGAATATATGAAATATCATGGAACCATACGCGTTCCAAACGTGAGTTTTACAGTACAGGAAATAATGATATCTCAATAAAGCTTCTTTTGATATAGATATATCAAAAAAAAAGCAATGAAAAATAAATTTGAGAAAGGGGAGACAAAATTTAACATTCAGAGCTGTTCTGGTTGCCAGGAGTGCGGTCCACTGACCTGATCTCCACCGCCACAGCCCTGGGCAGCCCCAGCACCAAGGGCCCACATGCAGAGCCAGGCCCAGCGTCCCTTGCTCTTGTGCGGTCTCACGTCCCCCTTCGGAGCCAGCAGCAGAGGGTGTGGAGCCAGGGACAGGGGTGGAGGAGGCAAAGGACAGCGATTACATGCACTTGAGGTCATGTAACCAAGCAGTGATCACAGGCAGAGCCCAGGGAATCCGGGACGCATTTGCTGGTTACATACACGGAAAGAAGCTCGCAAACAGCTTTATTAATTTAGCTAAGCAGGACCCCAGATGGAAGAATTTAAACCTTTCGTCCTGAATTTTTACCTCTACTAGGAAAAAAATTGAGTCATCTGAGTAAACTCAGCTCTGCAGTACACAGTGAGAAAGTAATTACAAAGGAGGGGAGACTCACATCCTTCTCACAAAGGAGAAAATGCGACAGCCCAGGGTGGGACTGTCTGTCATCTTCCCACACTCCACCTGGCATTTTTTCTCTAAGTTGAACCCTGATGGCATTTGTACAGATATGGAAATGTTTTGCAGTTTATACACCTTGTATCACAAAGAAATGGTAAAATTCGCAGTAATGCCCCAAAAGACTGCTAGCAAACTAGATGACAGTGACATTATTTAACAGTGCATTTGGTTATGGGATACTTAAAAATCTATGAGGGTGGATCTTATCTTAGATGGTTTTTACCACAGTTCTTTAAAAAATTGACTTAAAGACAAAATAAAAAGTCACCTGAAGGAAAAAAAGAATGCATTTGACTAGCAGAGTTAAAGCATCTATTGAAAGGCTCATGGATACAGAGAACAGACTGCTGGTGACCACAGGGGAGAGAGTAGGGGGACGGATGAAACAGGAAGGGGGAAAAATGAGTGAGAATGATACTTGGATCTGGCTGATGGTCACATTACAGCGTGTACATGTTAGAATTCATCCAACTGTACTAAAATTTGTGCATTTTATCGTATGTACTTCAATTTAAAGGCAGACTCTACTGAGATATACAGTACTGCACTCAGAACTAAATAAAGTTCTAAAAATAATAGGCATTTTTCCCCCTCTTTTTAATACAGGTTTCTCACCGAGGCACAACTTCCAGGCACAGGTTTAGCAAAGAGCAGCTCTGCCACAGCAACGACGAAGTAGGTCAGCCCCAGTCGCTGGAGTACGCCGGGGATCCGCACCCTGTCCCAGGACACTGTGGGAGGCACGGCGGGGAGGGTTAGCCAGGCTGTCTCCTCCCCCAGACGACACGCTGTTTCCTTAGGGGGAGGCTCCCCTACACTGCACCTGCGGCGGTCTCCTCTCAGCTCTGGAGACGGAACACGTACGGCCAGTGACACAGCTCAGACGCCCAGCTGGGAGACGGGTGAGAACCAGCATCTTCCTCGGGGTGGGGCACAGCAAGGACCAGCTGGCTCTGAGGTTCCCCTTCTGGCCCTTTCCCACCAGGAGGACGGCCGCAACTCTCCCAAGACCCAGGGACGTGCAGACCCAGCATGGCACAAGTGACCACACCTGCCCTACAGGCGACGTGCCCGCATCACGGGAAGAGGGGAGCGCTGTAACAAACCATACTGTGGTCCCTGTTCCCAGGGGGACCCACCGAGTTGACCTGTATGACACGTGCCCTTATGGCCCCACCTGGAAGTGACCTGCACCACCCTCCCAAGCCTAAAATCTCAGTGCTTCTTGCCTGAGGAGTTTGTCCTGCTACTCTGGATGGCTGTGTCCTCTTTTGCTAAGGACACTGTAAGCCCCTCGAGGATGGCAACCACTGCCTCCCCGATTCTGACACTGGTCCAAGCACCAGACGCACACCCTCCCATAGCTTTCCTGCCTCACTCACGCTGCCAAAACAGTAACAAAGGTCATTGTTCCCCGCAGCCCAGCTGGAATACACACCATGACCAAGGTGCATGCAAGAACTTCCACCTGTTAGCCTTCCTGGGAAAGCTGATAGGCCCAAAGGGGCAGGAGGGCAAGTCTGAGAACTGGGGACCTGCTTCCGCCCTCCCTGTGCCTACCCTCAGATGATGCAGAGGAAGCAGTTCAATCTCTCCCAGGTCACAACCTTCCTCTGTGACAGAAGGGCCTATGTGGTCTTGGGGAGTGACTCCGCCCTGTCTAACCTTCCAAGGTGATGATGGTAATGCCCCACGTGTGCATGTGCCCTAAGTTCTACAAACACTGTCAATAGACTTCCAGGAAGTCCTCTTTCTGCAGGTACCTCAGAGGAATTCCATTTCTTCAGATTATACTACGCAGTTTCCGTATTTCAGCCTGAATACATGCTAACAAAGGGGAACAAATACTTACATGGACCAAGGCAGTAATTGGGATTCACAATAACAATTCCTATGCAGATGAACAGGAAACTCCTCCATGCAATCTTCCCCAGCAACTTGTATTTTGAACATCCTCGCTGCAGTATGGAAGTCATTGACAGAAAAATCGAAGATCCCATAATAAATACAAACCTAAAAAAAGTCAGCTGTTACTCTGTGGCCATTTCCACTTTTTTTGGTCTATATATCATTAATATTTTATAAACTACCATAGAAGAGAAGCAGCACATGATTTTCTCGAGTAGCAGCTGTTGAAACAACATGTTAGTAGTGGAGGGAGAATGGCTGTCTGCACGGCTTGTGCACCTCCAAACCCCGTCTTGGCAGGAAAATTTGCCACCACAAGGAGCAGTTGCCATGCACCAGCCTCCCGCTCGGTTAGCAGACGGAGGGAAGATGCCACGGTCCAGTCAGCTGGCGCTCCCTAGCACGCCATCAAAGTCCTTGAGATACAAACGACACCTTTCAACCATTTCTTAATTCACCCTTGCTCCTCAAAGAAAAACAAATGCTGTTTTGTGTGTGTGTGATTTTGTCTGAGCCACACATCTTTCTTTTCTTTCCTTTCTTTAAAGATAAGAGTCAGGGATGGCCTGCATTGAAAAGATTAAGAAAAATACTAGTGAGGATGCAGAGAAAGGGGAACCCTCCTACACTGCTGGTGGGAATGTAAGCTAGTTCAACCATTGTGGAAAGCAATATGGAGGTTCCTCAAAAAACTGAAAATAGAAATACCATTTGACCCGGGAATCCCACTCCTTGGAATTTACCCAAAGAATACAAGTTCTCAGATTCAAAAAGACATAATCACCCCTATGTTTATCGCAGCACTATTTACAATAGCCAAGATATGGAAGCAACCTAAGTGTCCATCAGTAGACGAATAGATAAAGAAGATGTACGTATACACAATGGAATACTATTTAGCCATAAGAAAGCAACAAATCCTACCATTTGCAACAACATGGATGGAGCTGGAGGACATTATGCTCAGTGAAATAAGCCAGACGGAGAAAGACAAATGCCAAGTGATTTCCCTCATTTGTGGAGTATAACAACGAAGCAAAACTGAAGGAACAAAACAGCAGCAGACTCACAGACTCCAAGAAGGGACTAGTGGTTACCAAAGGGGAGGGGTGGGGAGGGCAGGTGGGGAGGGAGGGAGAAGGGGATTGAGGGGTATTATGTTTAGTACACATGGTGGGGGGGGATCACGGGGAGAACAGTGTAGCACAAGGAAGGCAAACAGTGGATCTGTGGCATCTTGCTGCACTAATGGACAGTGACTACAATTGATAATATGGGTAAATGTAGTAACCACATTGCTTTATCATGTGAAACCTTCATAAGAGTGTATATGAATAATACCTTAATAAAAAAATTTTTTTAAAAAGTCAGAAGAGCAGTCTTACTCATCACTTCGTCTGCTCTTGCTAAAAGCTTGGCACCCCTGGTTTCCTTTCTTGGGGCCACCTTGTCAGATAAAAGCCTCTAGGAACAGGTGCCCTTCCCTGGAGGTGGCCTCCCTGAGGACATACATAAATGACGGCCAGCCTTCAGGCAGATAAAACTCCCTCCCACCCACACCCATCTCCGAGAAAAGCCCCGAGCCCCACAGAGGAGGCCCCAAGTCCATGGCAGTGATGAAACCCAGGGTGCCGAGGGCAAACCACCTCCTGAGGATGGGCTCAGCCGCTCGGCGCCGCAGCCAGGACTGGGCCCATGCAGGGTGGACAGGCCACAGATGGCCAGGGCCTGAGTCTGGTCACTCCATGATCCTTTCAGCTGCTGTCTCTTCCCCACCACATACGAAGGGGTACAGAACAGGCCTCCCAAGATGGGCCTCGCTGGCACGTGCACTGTTTTGAGCCAAAGGCAATCAAGGTCCTGTGGGCTCAAGAGAAACTTCTGCCTCTCCCTTAACTGTCTAGAAGAATCTCAACTGGAATCTTTCACAAAACAAGGATTATAACCGGAAATAAACTGCATCTGGGTGGTGGATCTGTGCAGCGGGACAAACGCCTCGCCACCGGCCAGCCCGAACGCCGCCCTCCCCCTGTAGCCGCGGCCCCCACCCGGTTCCTTAGCTCAAGGTGGCAGACATCCCTCCCTTCACCTTTGGGCCTCTCGCGTGTGTGGGGTTCCTGCAGGTACAAAATTAAATTTGACTCTCTCCTGTTAATCTGTTTCATGCTGATTTGATTCTTCGATCAGTGAGAATCCTGAAGCACAGAGGAAAAATTTTCCTCCCCAACACATTCTTAGAAGAATTCCCTGGTACCAGTATACTACATTTCTTTTAGGAAATACAATTTTTACGTTTCTTTCCAGGATCAGTGGAGTTTAACTACATATTCAGATTTTATGATTTCCTACAAGATTCCAGCATCTCATATATCGTATCTACACTAACAATTTGTTCCCTCTGAAATCACTCGGATTTTATACTCATCTTAGATAAGCACTACCCCAAGCATGAGAACTATTCGGGAACACAACTTCCGTAAGGCCCTCCTAACGGCAGAGACCCATGCTGCTCTCGGGAAGGCTCCAGCGCCCGCTGACAAAGGGCCGGAGATGACCCACGGGAGAGCTGGTGGTGGACGGGCGACTCACCACGGGAACACGAGGTCGGCCACGGTCAGTCCTGCAGAATAACACAAGCACAGAGTAAGGAGGGGGCTCCGCAAGGTGAATTCCCCCTAAATCTACCATGCTCCGTTATATACAGTATGTATGGGGGTAAACGCACACACAGAGTTTGCAGGGAAACGCTGTGAAGTAACAGGCACTCCCTGAGGACTCTGCCACCAACCACTGGCCTGGGGCATTTTCTAAAAATATAACTGGGCATGGGAGAACCAAACTAGAAGTTTGTGGCCAAGTTTGTTATCTTTGAGCAGTGCTATTCAAAAATCCGTTCTTAAACCAACTTCTAATCAGAGTCACACCCATTACTCAGTACCACTCAGACCAACCCCAGTTCAATGGTCCCCAAGGAGGACCATCAGCTTTGGAAGGCAGACCTGCCATATGGCTGTGACAAAAGGAGAATCTGCAATATGACCAGGATCGCTTACAACTAAAACCTTAACTTCCCCTGGTCCTACAGCGGAGCCATCTGGCATGAACATGTCTTTACCAGGAAGCATCATGCAGCCATGGCACAAGAAAGGAGAGCCAGGGGGCTGAAGGGATGACTGAAAGGCTCTTCCACGGGGACAGAAGCTCAGAGGCTCAGAGGAGGCTGGCAGAGCCTCATCTCTGCAGCTCTGGGGTGGGGGACACTGAGGGATTCTCCTGTGCTCTGGGTCCGCTGAGGGGTCCTACGTCAGCAATGGCACCTTTAGGAAAGCTTACCATTCCAACTCGCATGTTTGAAGTACCAGTATTTCCCTCCACCATAATTAACAAAGACCATGAGGACGAGCGCAATCCTGCAGAACAACAGAGAGCAGAGCACATGCTTTCAGGGCTTGCACACGAGCCAAGGAGTGGCCCCACTGCACGGGACACACTTACACGCCCCAGGTGCCACCGCTAACACAAGATAACCATTAACAAGCAACTACTATTTCTAATTGCTGCAATTAGGACCCTACAGTAAAGCCAACATTTCCAACATGTCTTAAGAAAAGTCTACACTGATGATAAGCTGTGTAAACTTGTGTCAGTGATTTCAGGCTCTCAGGTTAAGGACTGTAGCACAAGCACACAGCCATCAGAGCCAGAGGTGTGGGTCCAGATCTCAGCTCTTCTCTCCAAGTAGCCTTAAGGCCCTGGGCAAGACCACTGGTTATCTGGGCTTCCCTGCATGAGACGGAGCACACCCAACACCAAGGCCATCGGGACTACTGAGGAGGATAATGTGTGTCATGGCACATAGCCAGTGCTTGGCACTCTGCAGGTCCTAATAAATGTCAGCTCCTGTCTACGTATGAACATCTTGTCTCTGAAAGTGGCATTGAGAATTGGAAAGAAAGAGGAATAAAGTGAAGTGGAGGTAATACATGGCTGTTTGATGTAGACTGTGCAGAATGCAAGGAATGAAGACTTTAATAGGTTAAGAGGGTAAAATGTGTGGGGACCCTGGAGCCCAACTGGCAGAACGAGATTCCGGCTGCCCCACTTGGTCCTGAGTGACCACGGGCAAGTCACTTAACTCTGGCTCAGAGTCTTCATCTGTAATGCAGGCATATGAGAAGCATGTACCTCATAGGATTGTTCAGAGACTGAATAAATTAAGACATGTTCGAACAGTACTTGGTGCATAGTACGAACTTGAAGATCATTAGCTGTTGTCATTATTATTATATGTCTTCAAGCACACACACCAGGAGCACAGAGCTGTGGTGAGACACAACTGCATTATAGGGGTACCACCTGAGTGTAATGGCCTCAGGGAGAAACAGAAGACCTCACGCCCAGATATTTATTTTCACCCATATACAGTTAACTCTTGAACAACATGGATTTGAACTGCATAGGTCTACTTATACATGGATATTTTTCAATAAATAAATTGGAAAACTTTTTAGAGATCTGCGACAATTTAAGAAAAACATTTTCTTTTCCCTAGCTTACTTCATTGTAAGAATACGGTATATAATACATGTAACAAGTATGTGAATCAACTGTTTATGTTATCAGTAAGGCTTCCTTCTGGTCAACAGTAGCTTTTAGTAATTAAGTTTTGGGGGAATTAAAAGTTACATGCAGATTTTCAACTGTACGGGATTGGTACCCCACCCCCATGTTTTTGAGGGTCAACTGCAGTTTTATATCTTATTTTCAGAGTGTGCTCCTGGCCTTCATCCTAGCAGGACTATAAAATGACAACGCACCACACGCTGCCGTGGAATTGCTGTCAGGCCTGGTACCCAGCTGCTCTGCCAGCGGCGTTGACAGATGCAGGCTCAATCTTCCATGTGCTGGTGTTTTGTTTCTAGATGGGTGCACCTTGTCATCTGTCATGATGGGTGGACAGAGGGGACAGACGCTGCCCACGTGTGGATGACCTTAGCTCAGCAGACTCTACATCCCAGTGGAAACCAGTCCTGGCCTAGTTCCACTGCTCCCCTCCACAACATGTACAGTGGCCACTGTGACAGATTTCAAGGAAGGACAGGCTGCTGACTTAATAGCAACTAGTCCCTTCTAGCCTAGGAAATAAAAGATATGTACGAGACCTTAACTTAGAAGTGTGTTTATGTGCAAACACGTAATCCTCCACTTCCTGTGCCCCCCATGTCACAATGGAGCCTCACGTACCCTCTGAATGTGTCCACACAGCGGAGGCGCTGGGGAGCGGCAGGCAGGCTGCCATCAAGTGGGCCTGCCCTGCTTGGAGATCCCAGCTCCTTCAGAAAAAGGAGAGAGAGACATGACAAGTGAATGCAAGGAGCAAATTTCATTTTTCTATTTTTTAGAGAAGAAATTAACGGAGTAGAAAGCTATAGATCATTGTTCTGACCACTGTTCTGATTTGCTCTGTAAAGGTCCCATCTGTTGCTTTATTTCCACTGCATTTGATGTCTGTGCCTCCTGCTGAGCTTGCAGCGGCCACCTCAACGGCCACAAAGATCTGACCCATTAAGATGGTACGAGTGAGCAAGCACATCCACAATGAAGTCACTAACACAAATAATATGTCTAACCACCACAGTAAGCCATCGCACCTGTAAATTACTACCGACATCCCCTGTTCTTGTGTTAATCTTGACACTCTCTACCTAACTGGATGGATTCAAAAGTACTGCCTGCGGAATGAAAAATGTGTCTACATTGTGATTCACAAAGCAGCCCGGAGTCCAACCTTACTGAAGAGAGTGGACGGCACACCCCATTGGTGCTGAAGGGAGGCCGCTCTTTATTAAGAATATTGGACGCAGCACCTGGCCTTCCATAATACAAGTAAGATTAATCAAACCAGTTAACAAAGACGACTGAGTGGGCAACTATAAAGTCCAAGTCTAGAAAACCACCGAGACCACATAGGATGCATCTAATAACTCACAGAATTGATGAGGCGATCAGTTTCCCGAGAATTGATTACTTTAGAAATCCAATTATTAAAGTCATCCAAACTGTAAAAACGTAAAAGACTCTGTTATTTTCTCTGGCAGAATTTTCAAAATGATAAGGCTCATCTTAATTTAGAAAATTTTAGAAAATAAAAGTTCACATTCTACACAGTTCAAAGAATTAAACATTTTCAAGTTTTTAAATGAAACAGAAGTAGAAATCAAAGTGTACAGCAGCAGACCTTATAAATGCCTGACGCTTACAGCACATGTCCTCATCAATAAAACAGGAATAAACAGCTTTCATTCAAGACTCATGACAGCGAAACGAGATCATTATTCCCTGTGGCTGGAATTCTTACTGGTACTGTTGTTAATACCAGGCGCTCAGTACAGGATGAGTAAATGTAAATATGACAGGATCAGATACAGCTACTAAAATAACAAGAAAGTGGCTCTGTTTAGACAAGGAAATGTGAATATAAACTAGTAAATACAAAAAGCAAAAATCAATATGCAGATTGGATTATAAAGAAAGAAAAATGCATGTATCTGTGCTGAGAAAGTCTGAAAGTAACTTTAGGAATGATTCACATAGTTAATGTATAGAGTTCTTTTTTCTAGATGGGTACTTTAGTTCAAAAATATATCAGATGACAACTGGATTTGCATGATTAACAAAAAATAAATATAACTGGCTGTTCTTTAAAATGAGGTTTCTATATGGAACTTTTTTCAAAAATACACCTTACCTGGTGAAAAAACAAACTCCACCACATTTTATATAAATTTTGCACATTTGAATTATCTAATGCATAGAATTTTTCCCCTTTTCTTTCCTTTTTTTTTGCCATGGAGAGTTTGAAGCACAGGCACAGGTAGAGAAACTAGCATACTGAACACAGAGGCCCATCACCCATCACAAGTACCCGCACAAGTCGCTCTTACTTCCTCTGTACTGTCACCCACTGCCCCTTTCTCCTGCCTTGGAATGCTTATTTTAAAATATCCAGACCATACACCATTTCATCCATAAATACTTCAGTATGCATCTCTAAAAGATGAGGACTCTATTTTTAAGCATAACTGCAGTACATTTTATTTTTAGGTCATTACTTATTATATTAAGTTATTTATATGTTATTCATTATGTACATATTATTACATTTAAAACTATCATCAAGAAGTCCTTAATATCAAATAGTTGGTTCAATTTCCTTGTCACATGAGTTTTTCTGACAGTTCAATTGTTCAAGTCAGTACCCAGACACGATCCATATATTCAATGCATGTATTTTAGTTTCTTCTTTTTTTTAACCCACAACTCAACTCCTATTTCTGCCTTTAAGCACTGATGACATCACCATCACATGAAAAATGTTAAAATCAGACATCTACGGAAAGGTGAAAAGGGGAAGTTAAGATATTTGAAACCTAACATTTTTTAAAAAGCACTTCATTTTCTTGCATATGCTTGTTCTCCAAGTGAAAGGAGAGTTGCTGTATTCTTACTTCCTTGGGTTCTTTCTGGTTCAGACAGACCTGACTGTCGAGGGCACGCTGGACAGTGATGGGCAGGGACTCCCACTTGGCCAACCAGACCATTCTGGCCGCAGGCAAAAAAAGCAGAATCAAGTGCAAAGAGTTTCAAATTTCTTCCCTTTATAAGGTTTTAAGATCAGCCAACAATTACTTTAAAGAGTGACATGATAATTCCATTCATATTGAAAGCACCAAGTGAAAACTCCCCTAGTCAATCAGAACAGTGTTTACATCTTATCAAAAATACTGACAATGCCTTAATTCAAAGAAATGACACCCCTCTGTTGGAATTATACTCTCTCCCTAAAACAGTGGTTAAGCACCTTCAGAGTGGACAGTTTTCTTCTATGCTCATCCAGTCAGGTTTCTCCTACACAGAGGGAAGCTACTTCAAGGATGCCCAAGGTCAGAGGGTCAGGGTGCCTAAGCTCCCAAGCGCTATAGGGCTTCCCCAGGCTAGCTGACTCAAAGGCGAGGTTTCCTCTCTTCCAGTCTGGAGCCTGCTCACCAGTACAGTCTTGTGGTCCCTCCTGAGACTAACAGGCTGAGCATGTGAAATGCAGTCAATCGTATTCCTTTTAAACTGCGAAAGGGCTTTCCTCTGAAAGGCGATTTGCCAGACCTGGATGGATTTGGCTTTCATGTCTTCTCCTGTCTACTTGCACCAGAATCGCTCTTAGCCAGGCAGGGCGGGAAGGACGTCCCTCCTGGGCCGCTAACCCCAATAAGGGAAAGCCAGTCCACGAGGTACCACGCCTTGTCCCATCTCTGCCGCCAGGTGCCCAGCTGGCAGGGCTTGGGAGCTGATTGGAAAGGTGGCCTCGGGGCCCAGAGCCAGAGGGGAAGCAGAAGGGTCCAGTGTGGCAGCCACCTCCTAAAACCATCACGGGCCATTTCCACGCACGACGAAGCAGCACGTGACATTCTTACAGGAAATAATGATTTCTCAAGCATTTTCTTCTATGTCTTCAGCCACGCAGGAGGACTGAAGCCAATGACCCACAAGAGCTCGGTTACCGCTTCCCGGAAGTCAGGGGCCATCTGCTTTCTACAGCGACCCCTAGTGCCCAGGACAGCACCGGGCAAGGGGCACACAGGAGAACTCACTGAATCCAGCACTCTGCTTCCCAGTTGCGCGTCCGCCCACAAACCCACTTACCTCAACAGGAACCGGAGCAGGGACACGGCCACGACAAGCGCAATACCGACAAGGAGCGCGGTGGTCACAGCTGTGAAAAGAAAAGTTACAACCACGTCATCCGAGGCCTCAAAGCTGTCACATCATTGCATTTCATCTGTAAATGAAAAATGCAAACAAATCAACATGACAACAAATGAGGGAAAAGCCTGTATTTTTTGTGCTAATTTTCCTATAAACAGAACACTCTTCATGAGGGAGTGCAATTTTCACAATGAGACAGACTCAAAAGTACAGAGAACTGTTAAGCTCACATTTCCCATTAGATGATTCCAGATTTAAGAAATCTAGATTCTACAATTCTAGAAATTTTCAAGATTCTACAATGATGAGGAGATTGTCACTCTTGCTTCATCTATTACTACTCTCTCCTGTTCTTTTGCCTCAGGTTTTTTTTCACTGAAGTACAGTTGACATATGATAACACACTAGTTTCAGGTGTACAAGGCAGTGATTCAACAATTATATACTTGATCACCTGAGTATTTTTAAACAAACCCCAGACATGTCATTTCCTCCCAGCATGTATCTCTACAGCACAGGGATCATGAAACTCCTGACATGACCACTGGGGAGGGCTCATCACCTCTGGCAATCTACCAAAAATACATAACCTCTCCCTGGTTGTGAGAACACAGCAAGAAGTCCAAGTAAAATCCTCCTCTTTGAAAGTGTCATGGTCACAAAAGACAGAGAGACTGAAGAAACTGCCCTTGATTAGAGGAGGCTAATGAGACTGACAATTAAATGCACCATGGGGTCCTGGGGTGGATCCTGGGCCAGAAGAAGGACAGTGGAAGAGACAAATAGGGGAATCTCAGGAGACTAATGATCAGCTAACAACA